TATAAGAGTAATTCAATGTCAGCACAAATCGGTTCCATCTGATGTGGACAAACAGCAGAGGAATCAGGAATAACATTTTGGCAAAACTAAGAGTACGGTTTGGTTATAGAACAATGCCTCATCATTTCTCTTGATTCCATCATCTCAAAAAGAGCAAAGAACATCTTCAATACCCATGACATCCCTGAATGAGCTGCAGATATTCAGCTTAGGTGTCTGTTAGTTATCAAGAGGCAGCAAGAGGAAAGTACCTGAATAAAAACCTGACCTTAAGTCGCAGTTGGATTCTTGCAAACCATGTAGGTGAGACAGCAATCTTTTAAAATAAGGTTCTTGGTTTCTATTAGACCAAAACAAAAAACGTCTTCATGCCAAAACATGTTAAACATGGTGTTGGCAGTATCATGCAGTGGGGATGTTTTTCTTTAGCAGGGACAGGGAAGCTTAAGAGAAAGACAAAGCTAAACACAGTGCCACCCTAAAATCTGACTGCAAAAGAGTTGAGGCTGGAATGGAGCCTCAGCAGGACAATGATCCTAAACAAACAGCCAGGATTCAGATTAGACCATGTAATGCGTTAGAACTGCTTACTTGCAACAAAGTCTAATAGAGAATCTGTGATCTGTCACAACATTCATCAGACTATGTTTCTTAAAATTCTAGGATGCAAAGCTTTTTATAACTATTGAAGTTTGTGGTCCTGATGCAACAACAGAACAAAATTTAGTTTAAATGCTTTAAAAAAAAAAACTATATATTCAGAGCTTGAAAAGAGCAGCGTTTTGTAATTTTTAATAATGAAGTAGACCAGTGCATTCGATAAAGTGTGAAATATATGTCAGAAGCTCATCTGTGTTAGCTGTTCTGGCTGCCGCTTGAAACGAGAGGCTAAAATAGTCTGTTGTCCCTCATCTAGAAGGACATGCTGCTCCGGTATTGTCTTGTGTAAGTCGATCAGTACCGCAGGGTTATAGAGCTGAAAGGGTTCCTCTGGGTGCTTTCCAAATTTTTAGAACCCATCTATCAAGCAGCAGGAGAATATGCGAGGATGAAAATAGTTTTAAATTCTTGTCAGTACTATGTAAACAGTATTACAGTACTAGATTGGGATGCTTTTACTGTATCATGACAATGAAACTTACCAGGGCTAGTATGTCTTCTATTTTTTCAGCAAATTTGTACATTAAGGCTGGTGCAACACCTACAGAATTATTTGTTGAAAAAAAGATATGAAAAAGATTAGCAGTTATTTTAATTCTTGATGGAGAGAGAGCTGTCAGGGCCTCCCTACTGAAGCTGCTACCCCTGTGACTCAACCCAGGATAAAAACATGGATGGATGGATGGATGGATGGATGGATGGATGGATGGATGGATGGATG